TGGGTCTTAAGAGAGTGTAAGACTCTTACTGACTAAAAATCATTACGATAGACAGAGATATCCAGAACCACCCGATCATTGGCCTTGGCCTAGCCATAACATAACGATTGTACTTAGCTCTAAGCCATTCTGTAACACCTCTTATACATTGTGGAATGCAAATAAATATGAATATGAATATGAATAAAAATGACATATTTTTGAACTGTTTTTTTTACATCAATTACTTCATAAACAAACAAAATTTGACACAATCCTTTCTTCATTGCACAATTCTCAAGACCATGACTTGAAGACACAATCTTTTCCGTTCATTTTGTTTGAACCGCATTTTTTGAGGTCATTATGGACCTTCTGATGCGGAAAAAGGAATAATCGAGAGACCTTACCAGCCAAAAATGTGTTTAAAGACTATAAAACTTGCACAAGTGTGCGCTTGAGTCATTTTCGTGTAAGATATTCAGGAAGAGTGGAAGCTAGGGTGTCCATGATGGCTATTGGAAAAAAAATGTTGTTTAAAAAATCATGGCAATCCGGTCGATGCATGGCTTTCTAAAATAAGTTTATTTATTTAAATCTAGATATTGCTGTAATTTAGTCTTGTTTTTTGTCACATTAAGTGTAAAAGAATACACATTTTGTGACAGTACTTAAAAATTAGATAGAAAAATACAAATATTATATTATTTTCAACAAAGGTAATAAAATAAAAATAATAAAAAAGTGATAATTTTTATTGCATAGATTACGAAAAATAATACATTTTGACTAGGTATGTCAAATGCAATTACGTACCCCAGAAAAACTATAATGTGGTACAAACCCACATTATAGTTTTTCTGCCACCACTCCTCCGCCATTGAAGTTTTAGATAACTTAAAAAAACACCCTATTATCATTCTAACTTAGCTAATTAAAATTACTCTTAAAAGGCTTCCACGTTGGAGATTACCAAGTAGGTATATTATATAATAATATGGTGTAAACCAAACTGCCAACCATTTGAATCAGCGTGAAACCAATTGAATTTTTAGACGCGGTTGTAAAAATATCAAAGGTTAATTAGTATGCTACTGGTGTTTGGTAATAATTAGAAACACGTATCGCTATATTATAAGGCTGGTACAAGGTAGGAACGTTTGTGGGGCACGACTTTTCATATACACTTTCAGGTACTTTATGGAAACTGATAAACACATTTTAATTAAACCTGATACGTGTATACCTACGATATTCTATTATTCATGTCCCAAAGAGTCCGGACTTCAGTGTTTTGGTGTTTTCCTAAGCAGGGAACAGAGAATAAAGTTCCCTTATAAGGAAAAGGAGAATCACGTGTCGTAATAATTTGACGAGATACTCGACTAGTTTCAAGCCATGATAGGGGCCCATACTCATTAGCAGCATTCCACGACACGCGATGCGGCGACTGTCGCACTGCTACTAAGTTGAAACTAGTCGAGCTCGTCGAACTCGTCAAATTATTACGTGATTATGCCGAAAACATAATAATTAAAAGGAGGATCCTCCGACCAGGCGAGGTGATCGTGCCTGCCGGGCTAATGCCCGGCGGTTGTTGTCGGGATTTTGTATCTGTTCTAATCGGGTCGAGAACTGTTATAACGCGACATAGAAACTTGAACGTGATTGGTGCTGTTGTTGTCGCTTTAATATATTGCTACAGTTGTATCTACTGTAGATCTTGACTAACAGCGATGATTGTGATTAGGATTGACTTTGCTACAGTTGTATCTACTGTAGATCTTGACTAACAGCAATGATTGTGATTAGAATTGACGATGATGATGATTCCCATTTAAAAAAATGCGAAAGTAACTCTGTATGTCTGTCTGTCTGTTTGTACCGATTTCTGTAAAAGTTCGGTACAGACATAGTTTGGAACTCGAGAAAGGACACAGGAGTTTTTATACTAATAATTTGCAGGAAGTCACTATTTCACGCAAACGGCACCGCGGGCAAAGGCTAGAGAAAAAAAAAAGATATTTTTCTTTAAGTACAAAGTAAAAATCTAAACTTAAAACTAGTCGTTTGGGTTACTATCGGAAAAATATTTTCTTAATTATTTTTGGACTTTTTTATATTGTGTATGAGTACCTACCTACCAAAAACTTTTCAGTATTTTCTATGAATTTCAACCTGAAAAATTGTATGGAAACGCTGTTAAGATATTATAATAGCTTGAATAATTATACATTCTTTTCGTATAACAATATAATACTCCTCACATTTGTATATTATTAGAATTTCAAAAGGCGTAATAACCGCTATAGAATTTTTTCTTGCAAAACAAAAAACTGTCGTTAATTTTTTTTGCGCGTTAACTTGAGCCTAATCTCTCAGTAGCATTGAGTGATGAGAGATGGTTAATGATTGGTGTATATGAGTAGGTACACGCTTAATCATTTTTATGGTGATTTTTTTAAAATATGGTGAACTCAGAAAAAAATGTAGTTTTGCCTACCCCTAATCTCCTAGAGGTATCGAAGGTTACGGGTCAGGTACAATTATGTACCTAGGCCTCTGCTGGAAGCAAGAGAAGAAGAGGAGTAGTTTATAGCCAGTAAGAGTCTGACCATATCTCTTGGCAACGACTAAAAAACAATAAAAAAAATCATAGGAAATTTTTCGAAAAATGGCATCATATTGATGATTGCAATTTGACCTTGATAAAGCATTAATTGCTTATCAGAATCCTTTACCACAATTCTGATCAAGTAGAATTACGGACTTTTAAAAGAGGTGACTGTCCTCCATTGGGTATTTACCTAGAAGATAAATAAAGATAACAATACAAAAGTTACAGCAATAAATAATTAATCACACATGTCACAATGCTCTTAGAAAATAACCCGTTACTAAGACAAATACCTTTTTACACATTCAGTAATACATAGGTTCATACGAATGTTTTAATTTTAGACTTTATTGCATAAGTGATAAAGTTAACAATGATTTCAAAAGAATTTGATAATTAAGAGTAGCTAGACATGCCGCGTTTGTGGATAGGTATAAATGTAGGTTAGGTACTTTAACTTTTCACCGGTTTTTGCCACACAATAAAAGCTCTCTTCTTTATTCTTCTCTATCTTTATTTTTTGTTGGTTGGCAATAAGTTTTATAAGTTATCAGTGGCGTTGGCCTTAGTGCCGGGGTAAAAAGTTGCCTTTCTGTTTTTTTTCAGTGTCAAATTTCGTTCTGATCCTTTCACTTGTTTTTACGTGAAAGAGTCACAAATCCATCCATCCAATCCATCCATCCGTCACAAGCCATACGAATTTACGCATTCACAATATGACTAAGATACTTAGTATTTTATTTAAGTGTGGGAGAGCCAAGCTTCGTCACGAATGGGTCGGCTCGACCGGAGTGATACCATGGCCTCACAGAATACCGGCGTGAAACAACCCACAGTGTTGTGTTTCGCCGTGTGAGTGAGGTTACCGGAGGCCCAATCCCTTCCCTTCCCCTATCCCTTCCCAATCCTTATATCAGCAACCCCTATCCCCAAAAGGCCGGCAATGCACTCGTAACTCCTTTGGTGTTGCGGGTGTCCATGGGCGGCGCTGATTGCTTACCATCAGGTAATCCGTCTGCCCGCTTGCCGACTTATACCATAAAAAAATTCAAATCAAATCCATTTATTGTTGGTCACAGGTAAAAGGTAGTGTTTATTTTAACTATCAAACAAAAAAAATCAAACAAATAAAGATGTAGGTCATAATTTACGTGTTGACAATGACGACAGCACGGAGAAGGTAAAAGTGTAATTAATTACTGCATAATTATCTGGACTTCGACATTTTATTAGGACATAAATTATTATTGGGTTTTTTGCTTTGGAAAGTCTCTTTAGCCACCAGCAATGAGTCAGAAGTTTTGGTGACCATTTCATACCGTCCATTATTTTATAGGGGTATCTAAAACTAAATGACGTAAGTGCAAAGTTGCAAATCATTCAGATTTTTTATGTATATCTGGTATATTTCGGAGTATGCGGGGTAAATACACAACTTGAATCCCGCAAGTCCTTTCCATCATGCTGGGTTGGCGGGACAGGCGTAATAAGGTACCGCGGCCTCGGCCTAGAGCAGGAGAAGACAGTCAGTAAGACTAAAAAGGTTTTTTTTAGTCAGTAAGACTCTACCGTTTTAGTCACTCACCCTAGGCAATAGAAGTAATTTGAGGATTTTCATAAAAAAAGTACTAAGTAACTTTCCATAATCGTACCACCAGACCATAGGCAAAACGTCACCGAATCATGACGGATATCCTACCCACAAGAATAAAGTGATTCGCCTCCAGTTTTTCCATCAGAATCGCTGGAGTGGAATTTTTTCCCGCGGTCTGTGTTCCTTGAACGGGAATCTCTGGAAAAAAACATGGTGCCTCATGACGGGAGCGGTGATGTATCCGTGGAAATACCTATTGGTTTAGTAGGTATTTTTAACACTATTTAAAAAAAAAGAAATACGAGCAAATTTTTTCATTGTCTAAATAACTTAATTATTATTATTATTTTAAAACTGAAATTAATATTATATATTATCATGAATCATTGGCAATTTCAAAGTAATTAATTTACTTATTTTAATTAATTAACTGATTTCCATGGTATAATAATGAATGGTTTAATTTATAGCAATCAATTTATCTGTTGTTATTTTATGTTTTCCGTTTTCCTTCAAAACTCGGGTAACTATAATTCTAGTGTTCTTTATGTTGTATTTCTTGTTGTAATCATTATTACATTGTATCCCTCTTTTTATTGGACCAGTATGCTTGAGGAGTGTTACGATGTTACTTAAGTTGACGGCCTTATCCTTCCTCCTCCTACAAACCTTAACCCCAAAAGACCAAGAAGAGAATAAATAATGATAACATCACACACAACCTACACCATCACCTTTTTAATATCATGAAATCTGTCATAAAGTTACCTAAAGTTAAGGAAAATGGTAACGTCAGTACGTTCCGAGCATTCATTTACCGCGTGGCCACACTACTCTTAAACCCTCGAAAACCAAATGAAGTGCAGTTGATGAAACGCGCGGCGCTCGCGCAGACGGCTCCGTAATTCAATAATGGCGCGAATCCCAATTACGCTAGCCGTCTTCTCGGCAACGATTTTGGCCGCAAACATAGTAGCAGGTTCGTAATTGTGAAATAAAAATGTGTTGTGTGTGTTTATTTTACGGGGTAAACATTATTGTGTTTTTACCCAATTTTCTGTGTTACGGGAACGGGAAGTGTTTTTTGTGTGTTATAATAATTTTTTTGACGCTATATTTTGTATCATAAAAATAATTTGTATATTGTGTAAAATAAGATGTTAATTTATAAATCGTTGTGCGAAAAAAATTTAAGCGATATTTCACCGATATTATATTATTGGAACGATATTTCGTTATAAGTATCGAGTAAAACTATATTAAAAAAATATTGAATAAAAAAAAGTTAAATTATGGATGTGACGGTGCCTAATATTTGTGCAGTTGCTCATTAATTTTTCGCAATTCATTGATAAGTAAATAAATAATATATTTTAAGATTAAAACTCATTTAAAATAAAATTAAATACTTAAAAATTTATAAAACACACATGTTTTAATAAAGTCGTTCGTGCAATTTATCACGGTCACATTTTTTCTGTAGGCTCGGTACTCAGGTCAGGCAGGATTAATATAACCGCTGATTTAATATCAAGGGATCATCATTAACTATCTTCCGCCCGCGACTTCGCACGCAAAAATTATGTATCCAGGGATCTTAAAAACAGCAGCGTTTAAAGCGATAGCTCGACTAAAATACGCAAAAGCAAGTATAATTTATAATTTATTGCACTCAGGACTATCAATAGCTATCTATCAGTGAAAGAATTTTGGAAATCCGACCAGGTCCAAAAGTATACCCCCTTCATACCAACTTACAAATTTTACCTCTTTACATTATTACCAGTACAGAAAAACTAACCGACTGAAAATATACCATCTCCCTATTTAAGATTTTCTTCTATGTTAAGGGTGCGTTTACAAGCATACAATTACCTATTTAAACATAAAAAAATATCATACATATCATATCCAACCTCGGAACAACATTTTGTGGACACAAAATATCACACACAAAGTGTTGTTCCGTGCGGGAATCGATCCCATGACATGTGGTCATAATCAAATGAAACAATAAACTACATCCAAATCCTTATCCTAACTAATATTATAAATTCGAAAGTTACTCTATCTTTCTCTCTGTCTGTCTGTCTTTTCTTCACGCCTAAACTACGCAACCCATTTCTGTGTAATTTGGTACAGACATAGTTTGAAACTCAAAAAAGGACACAGGATATTTTTTATATCAAAAATCTACAGGAAGTCAAATGGGACGTGAAAGAAGTCGCGGGCAAAAGCTAGTAATTTATAATTAAGATGTTTCTTAATATTAATTACCTAATAATGTGTTTATTTTTTATCGGTTTCGGAAAAGTAGTCATCACTACGTAGTTTAGCGTAAATCAAAATGGCTTTCTTTGTCCCTATATCGAATTTTGATACGGTGTTGTGATAAATAGAGTGATCGAAGAGAAAGGGTTTTATGTATCCGTCCCGTGTGAAAACGTATTGCAGGGCGTCAGGAGTTACTTAGTTTTAGTCCAAGTTTGACTCATTCGATGACAACGGGATGATGCTAAAGATACAATTTTCAAAAAATAAATATCTCACCCAGAGAAGGATATCTCTCGATAAATGATAGCAGAATAGGCTTTCAATTAATTTAAAACTAAAAACTTTAATTAAATCAGCTTATATGTTTCCAAATAACAATGAAATATGTTACAATAAAAAAAATATAGAACTTGATAATATTTCAAAACATCGTTATAGTAAAGTGTTAATCTATTAAAATGCTTATTTTTATTTTAATAAATCATAGCTGCAGGACGACAGCCATGAAAAATACTTTCGATTAAGAAAACCGCATTCGAACTCGTTTATTCATTTTGGAGCTTTGGTTCCATAGACATAGAGGCTATTTTATTTATTTTTAAAGGGAAGAATATCATCCAAGCTGTTCTCCCACCTAAGGTGGAGCGAGAAGGAGTGTCAGACTCTTTCTGACTAAAAACCACCCCTCTCCTTCTCCTGCTTCGGGCTGAAGTTGCGATGGCCAGGTTAAAATTATAGAACCAGTCTTCATTTTTATGTCATAATGTCGGCAAACGAGCAGACGGATTACCTGATGGTATGCAATCAGCGTTGCCCATGGACACCCGTAACGGAGGAGTTACGACGTTGCCGACCTTTTAGGGATTAGGGTTTTGGAGATTTAGGGATCAGGGGAGCGGAAGGATTGGGCCTCCGGTAACCTCATTCACACAGCGAAACACAACGCTGTGGTTGTTTCACGACGGTTTTCTGTGAGGCCGTGGTATGACTCCGGTCGAGCCGACCCATTTGTGCCGTAGCATGGCTCTCCCACACTTAAATTCACTTCGCATTGGGGATAAAAAAATATCTGACGTATATACTCTTTTTAGTATATATGTTATTTATAACATATTGTATTCATGTACACATAATATATGTATACAATATACATTTTACATGCATGACTTTGTTTCACAGAAAACAGTAGCCGTAGCCAATCATGCATGAATTACAACTAAATCAATGAAAAATAATAAGCTATTCATTTCAAATATGTAGGTATTGTATCTATACGTCAATGTATTATTTTGTTCGCTTCAAGAAACAAGGTTCTTAGCACGATGCCAAGGTCACACAAGCTATTCTTTTCTGATAAACTGCTGCGCGACGTGTCGCAAGTTCGATACCCTCACGGAACAACTCTTTGTGGTACATCTCATCAACAGTTAGGTATATAAGCTTCTTCAAAAATGGTTCGTTTTCATTACTTCGTAAAAAAACAGTAATGAGTACCTACATAGTTCCTGGGGTTGTGGGGTAAGCGCAATGAGGCACCGTGACCTCAGCCCAGAGCAGGAAAAGGAACGGTTTTAGTCAGTAAGAGTCTGACGCTCCCTCCCGCCCTACCCTGGGCGGGAGAAGTCATTTGATGACTTCCCCTCACAAAAAAACGTAGTTCATTAGTTTTCTTTCAGTGACCTCATGAGGTATCCAAATATGGTACACAAAAGTGTACCTTGATTTTTTTAAAGTGTACCAAAACTGTTTTGCGTTTAATTTGTGGTTTACACAAAGTGTTGTACCGTGCGGGATTTGAAACCACGACGGGTTGCACGGCAGCCAGTTGCCCAGCCACGGCGCCAACAGTGCAGTCACCTTTCTAACTTTAGAATGCAGTTCAAACAAAAAAAAAGATTGTTTGGTATCTTATTATTGTTTGAATTTATTATACAACAATAAAACGCCAATTACTTTTCCCGTAAGTAATTACCGCAACATTACGCTTAGAGGTCATCAAAATAAAAAAACACTAAAGGTGCCATGATAAAACGTATCTGGTACTATGATGACACCATTCATCCATACATTGTAATCTCAATAGATAACCGCGATAGCTTCAAACAATTAAAATGAAGAAACGGATTCCGTATAAAATATCACGTTTTCTCATTTTTCTAAGGAAGGCACGTATGCCTTAGATAACGATTCATTTCTCTCTTCCTATCTATTTTTTTGTTTCGTTTAATCAAATGAGATTGCGAAATTTCAGAATGCGATTAGTCTTAGTGAGCGTGGAAAATAACACTTTACCAGTATCTTGAGGTCTCATGTCTCCGAGCACGCCTGATCGGATTTCCAAAATTCTTTCACTGATAGATAGCTACAATGTTCCTGAATGCTATAGGCTATAAAACATAATGCTACAAGTAAATGGAGCCGAGCAGCGGGTGAAACCGCATGAGAGTTGCTAGTTATAACATATAGAATCATGTCCATCTGTGGATGAGACCAGGCAGATATTTATGATGAAGTAGGTACTTAAAATTTTTTCGCAAATAGTTAGAGTCCTTCAGAAAATCGGTTAGAGTTAGTTATCGACAAAGCTGACTGGAAAATCTTTACTTTTTATATTCACATTAAGTACACCTATTTAAATAAATGATACATTCCGTAAAAAAGTGTTGAGTCGCATGATCATTTGCAAATGGACAAAAAGTTAACCGCATGTTTAGTGCGAAATTTAAATATCATTTATATTTTTCTTTTGTTGGACATAGGTAGGTACATAGCTGTAAAAAAGTAAAATCATATTCTTAATAGATTTGCACATTGTCTGTGTTATAATGTCTTAATTAGTAGCTGGTTTATTAGACCAGAGCGATGCCATAGCTTTACAGAAAAATAGCCAAATCACGCGTGTATTTCCAGAGGTCTTATCCTCAAAACTCCAAACCCTTTTTTTTTGTCAGGGGAAAATCATCCAATGACTTCTCCCGCCCAGGGTAAGGCGAGAGAGAGTGTCAGACTCTTACTGACTAAAAACCCCCCCGTTCCTTCTCCTGCTCTGGGCCGAGGTCGCGGTGCCTCATTGCCCTTACCCCGCAACCCCGGCTGAAAGCCTTAAAGGGTCGAAAGGGCACTTGCTATGTAACGTCCAAGTTTTGCGTGAATCTATAGGCAGAGCCGATTCTTGCTTATCAACAGTAGCAATAATAGATCACATAATATTCCACAAAACATGCTAATTATTTATTAATAACGGTTGTATATCCTAATACCAATTAGCAAAACTATTACAACGATCAATTAAAAAAAATGTAGTGATGAAATACCAAATTTTTGCACAGAATACCGGTCAAGGATGGTTACTAAATATAAATGTGATTTTACTATAATCGTTTGATATTTACGAATTTTTGATCTATCAGTATAATTATCTTAAAAATGGCATTGGTCGCAGATGGTCCAAACTTTTGGCTGTAGGAAACTGGACCTTAAATATCATACGGCGTCCTTAAAGAGCATAAATGACATAGTGATAATGTCGTGGTGGCCCGGAGGTTAAGGAGTCCGCTTATCATGCATTAGAGTGTGGGTCCGAAATCTGGCACGAACCAATGTGATTTTTACGAGTTATATGTATGTACTTTCTATGATTATTTAAACACCACTGACATACGGTGAAGGTAAACATCGTGAGGAAACCTAGATTTATAATTTCTAATTAGAAGTTTGAAGCCTTTAAATCGCCAACCCGCATTGAGCAAGCGTGGTGATTAATGCTCTAGCCTTCTCCGTATGAGAAGAGGCCTTTGCTCAGCAGTGGGCTCTTATAGGATGATGATGATGAAGGGGCATAAATATGTGTCAAATCATCAGCCTTTAAGGGCTAATTGCTAAGCAAAGGCTCCTTCTCAAGCTGAGAAAGTTTGAGCATTTTTATGGGGTATTAAGGATTAAGGGTTTTAGGCTGGAAGAGAAGGATAGGACCTCCGGTAACCTCACTCACACGGCGAAACACAACATAAGTGTTGTTTCATTCCAGTATTATGTAAGGTCGTGGTATAATTTCGGTCAAGACGCCCCATTCGCAACAAAACATGGCTCTCTCACTTCAAGTGCTTGACCCCAAAGACATTTGTAACTCCTCAATGTTATGGGTGTAGGCGGGTAATAGTACTAAAAAAAATGATTACTACTCTCAAAAAAAAAATATAATACTAGCAGACCCAGCCACGCGTTGCTGTGGCTAATGTTCTTGTGACTATAAGTTGAGATGTAAGCTATCCCATCAAAGTCAAAATCAAAGTCAAAATAATTTATTTCAATTAGACCCATACAGGCACTTTTGAACGTCAACACAACTTTAAAGATACAAAGTGTCAGTCTGTCGGTCAGTCCTCTTAGTGAAGCTATTCGCTCGTTCCAAAGTGTAGATTCCGATGGAGAAGAACGAGCAAGAAACTCCATGGTTACTCTTTTAAAATCAGTGTCATATAAACATTCTTTGATACATTATTTAGTTAGTTTGAATATGTGAGAACAGTGTAACGCGTGTATACAGAAAAACACAAAAAAAAAATAACCTTAAGGACAATAGACAGTCCGGAGCTGACCAGTCCCAATTGACGGCGCCCGTTTACGAGCATGACACGTACACCAGCATCGCTCAACTCAACCATAATATAGGGAATCGAGCGATCCAGTGACCGTGCCACCGCCAATGTGACCTTTGAGTGAGCATGACAACTCCAAGCTGACATAAGGACCGACATTCTGCTAGTCTAACTAATTTTAATAGGTTACAGGGCACTCACATTTACAAATTTATCAAGTTTAACAATAAAAATAGCATGGTTACAAATTTACAAAATCTAAGAACTTCCGTTCAAGCAAAGATCCACTGGAACATTATTTATATTCGTGTAGGTATATTATCCTGTGGAGCAGGACCAGCCCGTTACCAAGCATCCTTATCCTCAATATAATCACTCAGTTTGTAATATGCTTTTTTACACAAAGTTTTCTTTACACATAATTTAAAATTTCTTTCATTTAATTGTTGTATTTCGCCTGGGATTTTGTTATAACGCTGAATCCCATGAACGACTTGTGTACCTTTGCCAATCTAAATAATGGCTGACACAATCTATCTCTATGTCTAGTTTGCTCTGATTGCACGCTTTTGCAAGACAAATATAGACTCAATGTCAGCAGCCTGTCCCCACAACAAGATGCCATACGACATAATGCTATGAAAGTAGCTAAAGTACACCAGTCTTGCAGTGTCCACATCTGTTAGCTGTCGGATCTTCCAGACAGCAAATCCTGCAGAACTCAACCGTCCTGCCAGAGATGTGATATGGGGCCCCCATTGTAGTTTTTCATCTATGGTTATACCCAGAAAAGTAGTCGGTTTTACAAATTCCAATTTCTTGCCGTTTAATAATATGTCACATTCGTTACTTTTTACATTTGGTAAACTGAATCGTATACACTTTGTCTTTTTGTCGTCATCTTTTTCTTTTTCTTTTTGTCATCTTTCAAGTCGTATCAAAATGCAAACGGAATGCAAATCAAATTTAAAATCGGTTTAGTAGTTTAGGAGTTCATCGCGGACAAACACGTGACACGAAATTTTTATATATAAAGAAAAAAATTCCTAATAGAATAGGGAAGCACAAATTGTACCTACTTATTTACCAAAATTATTCCAAAGGATCTGAAATAAAAGTGTGATTTTAATAATAAAATCTCACTTGTCTTTCACATGTGCATATGCACAGACACACGGACAAAAAACAATGAACAAGTCTTTTTAAGCATTTATTTGAACTAAACTACAAAACCACATACATATAATCGGTACTTTAAAAAAATAAAACGTCAGTCAGTCAGTCAGCCAGTCCATCAGCAAGTACAATGAGTGATTAATATAAATTATGATATTCATTGTTTAATCGACCATTCACGTTCTAACTGGTTTTCGTTAATCAATATTCAAATTTATGAGGTAATTCATATTGTCGATGAATTATTTGAGGTAATCTGTGGTATTTCGATTTTTGAAATTGGCGTAAAATGTGAAGATGTTTGCAAAGCCAATTTGGCCAAAATATTTTGTATTATTTAAGTTTAATGTCACATCTATACTGATTATTATTGTATCATTAAGGGAAAAGCCTGTCTCTTTGCTTGTTTTAATGCACTTATCTCAGAAAATGCTGGTTCGAAGTGAACCAATTATTTTTGTTACACACAGTTCAGCTATCAACGAATGCTACAAATTAAAGATAATCCAAACTAATATTATAAATGCGAAAGTAACTCTGTCTGTCAGTCTGTCTGTCTTTTCTTTACGCCTAAACTACTGAACCTATTCGTGTAAAATTTGGTACATACATAGTTTGGAACTCGAGAAAGGACATACGATAGTATTATAACCAAAAATCTGCAGGAAACTAAGTCGCGGGCAAAAGCTAGTCAATGACAAATTAATTTATAAAACTATCGTCATCTTAATTTAAAAAAATACGACAATAATAGTAACTGCTTCGCTCAACGCTTGAAGTCAGTCAAAACTATAACCCTCTTATTACAAAACAAGATTTATCTTTAGTCCAGGTTTAAACCATTGAGTCGGGTTTTGTATTTTGAATCTTATTGTCATCTACCCTCAATTCGAAATACAAAAACTGGCTCAATGGTTTAGTCCTAGACTAAATTAAAACCTTGTTTTGTAATTAAGCCGTAAATATCCAAAAAAAAAGATTAAATATTCCTTGCAAAAATGTAACAATCTATTATTAGGACTCTATAATATCAACATTTGGAAATAATCTTAAAGGACCATTTGCATTTTTACAGGAATTCCTGGCGATGCAGCGGTACCAAAATCAAAGAAGGTGCTGGATACCTTCATGACCCCAAATTATATACCAGTGGAAGAAAAACATGGTTCCTATTGGAAAAAATCAGCTGCCCAAACTTTGAAAGCCAAATTAGCTGAGAAACCAAACACGAATAAAGCAAAGAATGGAATCCTGTTTATTGGTGATGGAATGTCTTTGGCCACTGTCATGGCAGCCAGAACATTCTCTGGACAACTGGACCAAGGTCTTGGCGAAGAGTCTGTGCTGAATTTCGAGACTTTTCCAGTCAGCGGATTGGCGAGGGTGAGTATTTATTTGTTATATACCCAGCTATTTAGTGGCCATCTTTTTTTAAGCTTCATTACAATTCTTCTGTTTTGAAAAAGAAGAAATACACATGCTTTCACTACACACACAAACCCGGGACAATATGTTTACTCAATCGAATAAAGAATAATTCCATGCGTGTGGGAATCGAACCGGCGACACGTTGTTCGGCAGCCATTTACCCAGTCACCGCGCCACCAATGCAGTCAGGTTGCTTGCTTACGACTTTACGCGCAAATCCCAATAATTATTTTTAATTGTGTTTGCTAATATTAGGACAACGTTCGTAAATAAGATTTTTTTAAACAAGTATGGACGTTAAATTAATTCTTGATATATCAACCCTTTCAGTGCTGCACGTCGATTCTATAAAATTTGTTTGATTTTGAATCAAGAAGGGGTGTGATTCTGTAAGACTTCATTCTAAATTTCGAATCTGAATCCGCTGTGAGAAGTAGTACACTAGCGCTACACTTGCGAGTTGAACTAAATTGACCGCAACATTTTGATAGAAAAAGTATGAGATGACGTTAAAAGTGGCATTCTAAAATTTAATTACCCCGTTACTTCGATACTCACTTCGCACTCGAACAAGATTCAAAATCAAACAAATTTTATAGAATCGACGTGCTTGTTCGAGTGCGAAGTGAGTGTCGAAGTGACAGGGAAATTAAATTTTAGAATGCCACTTTTAACGTCATTTCATACTTTATCTTTCAAAATGATGCTGTCAATTTAGTTCAACTCGCAAGTGCAGCGCTAGTGTACTACTACTCACGGTGGATTCAGATTCGAAGTTTAGAATGAAGTCTTACAGAATCACACTGCTGTAGTGGTTCATTATCAAAACAAAAGACTGACGCTGTGGTCGGACATCTATGCGAAGCAGAGACTGACCGCTATAACTACACTTTTTTTAAACACAGTTACATTTTACAACTTCCAAGTACTCAGTAATCTAACAGTAACTTTCTTTGAGTAATTTTTTACCTTAAATCGCAGAAGACTTTTATTTGGGATTCGCTTCAATGAATCTGAAACGTCTAAATAAGTTTTTAAGTTGCCAACGCTCCGATTGTTAAGATCGCTTTGAAGGAAAAACTAGTTTGGTTTATGGTTTTGCCTACTTGGTAAACGGAAAAAAACGTAGCCTCTTGCCTCTTTCTAATAGGTATCAAAATCGTGGAATACCTAATATAGTTTTTGAGTACCTAATTAAACTCTACTACAATTAAAAAAAAACGTTGCCCTACATTAGGATTTCCTTGTGTCATGGTTGCGGTTATAAACGTACAATTTCACATACACATCACACCCACACCCTGGGTTCAGCCGGGGTTGCGGGGTAAGCGCAATGAGGCACCGCGACCTCGGCCCAGAGCACCATTACGAGTCTGACACTCCCTCCGGGCGGGAGAAGTCATTTGATGATTTTCCCTTCACAAAAAAAAACCCACACCCGGAACAACAATTTGTAGATCACACAAAGAGTTGTTCCGTGTAGTGTGCAACCAGTTGCCCAGCCACCGCGCCAACCAGTCAAGTTGTTATTATTTACTACAAAGGTTGATACACTTTACCATAAAAAAATAAACAGTATAGGAAGGAAACACAAAATACAATAGTTAACGTAAAGGCATTGTTATGGGTTTTTTTTTCGACAAAAAAAGCAATTTGTTAGGTGAAGCACGTCTTAGAGCTTGTATAATAAAACGTCTTATAAACCTCTACAGAACGTGATCCCTTATAGATTTGACTGCACCATTGGCCACTCGTGACAATAGATGTTTAGCATATTTCCCATTTAAAGTAAAAAACCATGTGATTTCCGAGTCTACCTATATGTATTGGCGTTGCTCATGGACAGGAACTATAATACTCGAGGTCCACTGTGTCACCTGGCATTGTTTTTAACAGTGCCGGCGTTAAGGGAGGGCGTGATGGGGCACTGGCCCAGGGCGACAAATTCTGGGGGGCGCCAACGTCTGAAGTTGGAGTCTCTGGCCTCTCCTGGTACAAACCCTTAGAACTGTGCTCTACGCTCTGTGCATATGCATACTTTTTAGATGCATTTTTGAGGGTTTGTGGTCGAGGAGTGATTAACAATATCAATACGATCAGCAAACAACTACCACTTGATATTGCTTCACTAAAGAGGGCGCCACAATATTTTCGCCCGGGATGTCAGTGGCCCTTTCGCCGGCATTGTTTTTAATAAATCATTAGGGAGATGGTTCTCCAGTGACTCTGGTATCCTCACTTACAGAGACGTTATATGACGTAAACATTGTTTCACGTGGTTTTCTGCAAGGCTGTGGTATCGCCCATTCGCTGAAAAAAGGATTTCTGTACAAAAAACGAGACAATTTCCTTGACTGTTTGCATTTAAAAAGGATAAAAAAGCGTGTGCATAAAATATTAATAAACTAGCGGCCCGACCCCGCTTCGCACGGGTCCAACTATCTCGCTATCAAAGGGTCACTTTTTCCTAATCTTTCCCTCTACTTTTCTAATATTTTCTTTGATAAGAACCTTCTCCTGAAAATAACAAACACAACAATGCGCTTACCAACACATTTTGCGATCCATTTTTATGTATTAAGATAATAAGTTATACATACAGGGATTTCATATACATTGCAATACGTAAATGCAAATAATTAATTTCTTATAATTGTTTATCTTGATAAACAAAATTCTTAGTAAATAATTACAAGCTATTTACAATATATAAGATATAGGTATAAACGAAGTATTTAAAACTGTCGTGGAACTTTAAATTCTTTGAAACAAGCTAATGTTTTTAATTAGACCGCAGAACCTCGTATGTATGCTTGCATAGATCTCTTTAAGTACTGCAGCGAATTTATTCATTATGCTCCTATAATATTAAATCGTTCAATTATTATTGAACATATATGTGTGTTTCTCGAGAACGGCTGGTCCATTTTGGATATTTTTTTTATGTAATTTTTCGGCAAACCGGCAGACGGATTACCTGATGGTAAGCAATCAGCGCCGCCCATGGACACCCGCAACGGAGTAGTTACGAGTGCGTTGCCGACCTTTTAGTGATTAGGGATTTGGAGATTTAGGGATTGAGGAGGGATTGGGGGCGGGGAAGGATTGGGCCTCCGGTAACCTCACTCACACGGCGAAACACAACGCTGTGGTTGTTTCACGTCGGTCTTCTGTGTATATATAATTTTGAATATTTTGGTCTTAAAATATTCGTTGAAGACCAGGGAAGGTTGTATGTATGTATGTATGTAAACATAGGTAAAGTTAGGGCGATACGAAGTTTGCCGGACCAGCTGCTAGTCTTATAAATAAAAAAATATTGTTGTTGGTTAGTCCCGCTAAAACTCAAGAAAGGCTGAACAGACATCGTTCATTCTGGTCTCGAAACATTCTTGGATATAATTAGGTTTAAAAATTCAGAAAATATTACAAAAAAATAAAATATTAAATTTCTAATTAGTTATACTTATTTAAGGCGAAACGAAGTTTGTCGGGTCTGCTAGCAGTTGATTAAAATGCTTCAAAAATTATTTTGCGTCCATTAACTTAGTTAGTTTTTAATATCTAAGATTACTTATCTATGTTAATATAATTTTTTATTAAAAAAAAATGCCGAGGGAAATTAAGTCCTGGGTGCGTTTACAAATATACAAAATCACATACACATCACAACCACACCCGGAACAACAATTTATGAATCGCTCAAACAGTGGTTCCATGCGGAAATCGAGCCCACGACACGTTGCGCAGCAGCCAGTTGCCCAGCCACCCCGACGGACATTATGCTAATGCTTGATACCATTTTCGGCTCTAATGTCAAATGTGGAAAAGGAGGGGTTCCCACAGTAAAACTGCGTGAATCCAAGCCTGTCTGGGTTTGTGTGAGGTTACCGCAGAGCTCATAATAGCCTGCCTCTTCTCATATCCTGTAAAGCATGTTAAGGTTAAGCAAGATCGGAGATGATTGCTTACCATCAGACCACCCATCTGCTCGTTTGACCTTCTATTCCAAAACTAAATAATTTTTATTTGTTGAAAAAACCAGGTTCAAATTCCCTTAAAACTGAAGTTATCAATAAGGTGGTGTTTACGTACTTACATGTCTAGCGCCGCGCTTGACCGCGCATGCGCTCTGTGTCACGTTCAAGGAGACCTGCGCACGAGTGGAGGCCGCGCGTACTACGTCACACTCTCTTCCGATTTCTATGAATCAAGTTGCTACTTACGTACGTGATTTTTTTTAAGTTTTTTTTAATATATATTTTTTTAAATAATTGAATAGGTAGGTTTACTCTATTGACTGACTGGAGGGCAATTTAAAAAAAAAACTAGGGACGCTAAAATTACTTCACACTTTTATGTGTAGCGGTATATTCATTACTTATGACATGGGACTATTAACATTTAATACGTGAACTTTTACGATAAAATACTTAAAGGTGGCTTTAATGTATCTTGAGGTTTCATGACTCCGCTTACGCCTAAAAGAGCAAAAAGACCACCACAGACGGGGCCCTAGAGGGTCAATGTTTAGCCAGGACAGCAGGCACCGCGGTCTCTTCCCAGAGCAGGAGAAGGAATGAGGGTGTTTTAGTCAGTAAGAGTCTGACACACCCTAGTCCCTCACCCTGGGATGGAAATTAATTGATGATTTTCCCTTCAAAAAAAAAACGTTATCAAACAGCCTTATTGGATAAGACTCGTTAAATATATAATGATAATATAATATGTGAGTTGTGTAAAGACTTACCTTGTTCAAACAAGTAGAATACCTGACAATAAATAGTGTACATTGACACAATACGGTAGTTTCCAATTAGTCAAATTCCATACTTTTATCCAAATGTCAAAAACGATACTTTTCTATGAAATGTGTATGAAACACTGATTTATGACGTCATAGTATTTTTCGTCAAATAGCTTATTTATTTCTTAAAAAAATACTAAAAATATCTAAAGCTTAGTGTTTGATCGAATAAAAGTATAGTAATTTTTCAATACTTATTGTTTTGAAACGTCAAATTAATATATTTTTGACCTAGGAAACTACACATTTTTATATGTATATAAATTATGTATCTAATACTTCTGAAATGACATTACGAAAAGTAGTTTGCCAGATGATATTTCGGTTCAATAAAATCAATAAATGGAAGGAAATTGACAACATTTTACTTTAAAAAATAATGGAGTATGTGGATACCAGAAGAATAGATCTGTTGCCATTTGGGGATAAGGGGTCTTGGGGATTAAAAGATTGGGGAGAGATGAGGAAGGGAAGGATTTGACCTCCGTAACCTTACTCTTGCAGCAAAATCGAACGCTGTGATTGTTTCACACCGGTTTTCTCTGGGTCCGTGGTATCAGTCCCGTCGAACCGCACCATACACTTTTTGGGAATAACGCTAGTAAAATACTTGATATTTTTTTGTTATTTTAAGTATTTTTTTTTTGTTTTATTTTATTCAATTTTTTATTTCGAATCTTCTATTTTTTGCTTTATAATTGTGATTTTCGTATAGCCTACATTGAGGCAAAATAAATTTATTTCCTTTCTTTCTAAGCGCTCATACTTCCAAAGTCGGTTGTGCAATATTTATCGCCAGGTACTGTAAGTACGTGATTGCTTCGCACTCCCACGCGTGACGCGCGATTCTCTTCTGTATTGTACACAGCAAAATTATCAATTAGGAAAATTATCTGTTTCCTCTATACCTACCTCCATTCTACGGATAGGAGGTAATACTTAAGAGTATTTACAACACGAGTTGACATACAACTTTCAATTTACAAGTTATGAAAACCACTGAACAAAATCTTATGAAAGTTTGTAGGTACTCTAAGGCAAAATATCAAGACCTGACACTTAACTTCCATATTAAAACATAACTACTAAACGTGGAAGAGCCATGCTTCAGCACGAAAGGGTCGGTTTGGCTGGAGTGATATACATTATAGCAAAATTGGCGTGAAACAACCAAAACACGTTATATTTCGCCGAGAGACAACTTAACTTCCATATTAAAACATAACTAATTAGTGTGGAAGAGCCATGATTTAGCACGAAAGGGTCGCCTTGACCGAAGCGATACGCACCATAGCAAAATTGACGTGAAACAACCTAAACACGTTAAATTTCGCCCAGAGACAACAGAGTTTACCGGAGGCCCAATCCTTCTTCTCCTCCCCCAAATCTCTCCCCAATCCCCAAATCTCCGAAAGCTTAGTCCTCAAAAGGCCAGCAACGCACTCGTAATCCCCCGGATGCCCATGAGATACAATACAATGCAATTGTTTCTATCTATCTCTTTAAAAATGTATTTCGAAAATGTTCCTAAAAGAATAAATTAATAGAGCTTGATATAATGTACTAAGTCTCATTAAAATCGATTTTCTTATTCCCATGATTAAACCGGTACCGCGTAAACGGTCTTTCCAACGCAGGTACTGATTATTGGTCTTATGATATCGTCCGAAGTCGAATGATATGCATAATCTCGAACAATGCGAGGAAGGAAACGTATTTCCATGGTAATTACTACATTGTCAGGCCCATCGCGTTTCTGCAAGGACATTTTAAGGTCATTCGAGGTATTCAACTTGAGGTGAAAACACAGAATGACTGTCCAAACTCTTTCTGCTATAGTCAGAGATATTGATTGACCACTTAAATTATTATTAACTAGCTACTCTTGCGCGGTTTCACCCGATGCTCGTCCCATTGGATTGTAGCGTGATGTTTTCCTATAGCACTGAGGAATATTGTAGCTATCTATCAGTGCAATAATTTTGGCAATCCGACCAGCGGTTTCAAAGATACAAACTTACAAATTTTACCTCCTTATAATATTAGTATAGAGAAGGAATAATTTCGTCCCGGAAACCATCGCTAAGCCATTGCCAAAGGCTAAGTAATGTAATCGTTATAATAATTATCGGCTCAACGTTTAATTTTTGTATCAAACTTTGCTTCTTACTAAGATATTCGCCTGTGTCGTGAGTGCGTTTACAAACATACAATATCATCACATACACACATCACATCCAGAAAAACAATTTTTGGACCAGATAAAGAGTTGTCAAATCATAACCGCAGCACGTTGCCTTGCAGTCCAGCCACCACGCCAACTGCGCAGTTTCTGCCTAACTGAACCAGATCGCTGAGCATACAACCCATATGCCCATAATAAATGAATAGTAACTACAATTACTTATACAATTTCTATCTATTTTCAGACATATTGCTTAGACGCGCAGGTACCTGATTCGGCGTGTACTGCCACCTCGTATCTGACCGGCGTGAAGACGAAATACGGTGTTATCGGCCTTGATGGCAACGTCACAAGAGGTTCCTGTTATTCTCAACTTCATGAGCCAAACTGGGCCGAATCTATTGGCCAATGGGCTCTGGACCAGGGACTCGATGTTGGTGAGTTTTGATCTAAATTTTTGGTCTCTGAACGACTCGTGAAACTACCCTCATCTGGAGGGAATGTGGCGTTGATGTTTTCTGCAAAAAAAGTTCAGGTTATGCGTTTAATATAAAAATATTTTAAGATAACAGCAGCAGCATACCTATTCAAAAGTGAACAGCAGTTTGGTAGGCCTTGGATAAAAGCTTTAGGTATCAATCCTACAAATTTTTTTATGGTATAGGTCAGCAAACGAGCTGACGGATTACCTGATGGTAAGCAATCAGCGCCGCCCATGGACACCCGCAACGTAGGAGTAACGTGTGCGTTGCCGACCTTTATGGGATTAGGGTTTTGGAGACTGACACTATATCTTCAAAATTTTGTTTGACGTTCAAAAGTGCCTGTTAGGGTCTAATTGGAATAAATGATTTTTGACTTTTGACTTTTGAGATTTAGGAATTGGGAGGGATCGGGGGAGGGGAAAGATTGGGCCTCCGGTAACCTCACTCACACGGCGAAACAAAACGCTGTGGTTGTTTCACTCCGGTAATCTGTGAGGCCGTGGTATCACTCTAGTCGAGCCGAACCAATTGTGCCGAAGCTTGGCTCTCCCACACATGATAAAATAATCTCCAATTTTAAATTAGAACTCAAATTTAAATGCGTTGAATACTAAACTAATGTGCAAGGATGGTACCTACTGGATGGTAATTTATTATTATTTTATTTTCGTCAGCCTCTCTATAAATTTTGCTTGAAGAAAATAGATCAGAATTTCATCAAAATGAGTCTACAAACTCAATAGTCTTTTTCTTTCTTTTCTAAACTTTCCAAGTTCAATAATGAAGAATGTTCGTTGAAGATATCTTTCACAGTCATACCAGTGTCACTGCCATTACACCACTCCGTCATTATTTTTATTGATTGACGAACAGAAACGGAACAATTGGTGATTACAGGACAATCGTTGCAAACTAATTAATTTTATAATCTAAGTTATGTTTCACTCCATTGATTTATAATCCTACTGATACTTATTGTAATTCGAAAAGTTGTAATTAATTTATGTACTTAATCGATTGTTTCAACAGAAAGATGTTTGGTACATTTAATAAACTTTTAAATAAATACAACTGAACGAATCTGGTTGAAATTCGACATCTAGATAGATTAAGAAGCGTATAGGCTACTTTTCAACCAGTAAATCAAAATGAAATTATTAAAAACATTTCTTTTTCTCATATACTAAGTCACAAAGCTTTAATATAATTCACCGTGACTAGGAAGGTACTTCACTTATATTTTTATCTACTCTTAGCGGATTACATGTGATGCAACTGAGACAGAGTTTACACATTTGATAGAAAAATAATGAAATCTAGGGAAAGCCTCTCTAAAATAATTAAATTATTAATGCGTCACACAGCGCCATCTATGAATTTTCTCTCCAACTAAAACGATTGTTAGTAGTGTCACTCGCTGGATCACAGTCTAGACAGAAATGTTTTATGTTGTCATTACTTCATAGCTAGCGCGCACAGATGGCACTAGCATCACTAAAAATTTTAACATTTAGGTTATGATTTCGCCGGTAGCAAAATATACTGAAATTACGTTAACAATTTGAATGATCACTGCACAAAATGATAATTTATATATAAATGATGTCAACTTACCATTCATTTTGGATAATACTCAACTATATTCTTTATAAACAATGTTTCATAAAGAAATCTGCTTTCATTTGCGTTTTAATAAAAAAAACTTTAATATACTTTAAGATAGGTACTCCAAACTGAAGTCTAATATAAAATATTATAATAATTTCCCTTGACATTACCTAATTTGAATAGATGGCGCTAGTAGTATGAACATTTTGTACATGTCTTTTACATGTCACGTGTATCTTTTTTTCACAGACAAATAAGATGTTATGAGCACGTATTAAACACATTTGATGTACCGTGTGCTCATATTTGATGGAACAGATGACATCTTGTGACGTCAGCATGAACTTTTAATAATAGATAATTATATAACATACGGTGTTAACCTAGAAGTTATTTTGTAAGCGTTTAATTCTGGCTGGTAGTTTTTAAAAAAAGTGTCAATGGCTCTTTTGTTAAATAAAATAATTATAATTAGTCAATCGCCGAAGATACCTAACTGTGAAAGTTAAGATGAAAATGAGTGAGACAAGATTATCTGGGCATAGACATATGATGCTGAAGGAAAGAAACTTATGTTGGTAAGACGGAGTAGTGAATTAATAATCCGAAGGACAGAAAGGTAGAGGATCGCCGTGAAAGTTCATTGTTAAGTGTGGGAGAGTCATGCTTCGGCACGAATGACGGCGCAGTTTCACAGAAAATCGGCGTGAAACAACTACCTACCAGCGTTGTGTTTCGCCGTGTGAGTGTGGTCACCGGAGACCCAATCTTTTCCCGATCCCTAAATCTCCAAAACCTTAATTCCCAAAAGGTGAGCAACGTAGACATAACTCCTCCATCGTTGCGGATGTCCGCCGTTGCGCTGATTACTTGCCATCAGGTAATCCGTCTGCTCGTTTAAATTGGTTGTGTAAAGAATAATAATATGGTAAAGAAAGGAGTTTTGTGTTGCAATGAGACCTGCTTGGAGAGAATGGGAAACGAAGAAAAGAAATTGATAGAATAGCGTATTTTCAATATGGTCATAGGTACTATAACTCAGGTATCTTCTACGTGTTTTGTTATTCTCTGGACTTAATATTATGTAGGTATGTGTGTATGTAGTACCTACTTTTGTAGTGTATGTGTGTTGTGATACATAATAATATTTTGAATTATATTTATTACAAGCTGCTCTCACGCGGTTTCACCCGCTGCTCGGCTCCTACAGATCGTAGCGTGATGTTTTATAGCCTATAGCACTCAGGAACATTTTAGCTAACTATACATCATATTGTACCAATGTGACTTTTTCCGAGTTATATGTACTTTCTATGATTATTTAGACACCACTGACATACGGTGAAGGTAAACATCATGAGGAACCTCGACTTATAATTTCTAATTATAAGTTTGAAATCGCCAACCTGCATTGAGCAAGCGTGGTGATCAATGCTCTAACCTTCTCCGTATGAGAAGAGGCCTTTGCTCAGCAGGGGGCACTTATAGGCTGATGATGAAGTGTCTTATTATTATAATAACTTACGCTACTTATGGGGAGAGGCGTGACACACTACAATGACTCTACAATCAAATGGAGCCGAGCAGCGGGTGAAACCGCGCGAGATTAGCTAGTAGGGAATAAAAATTTCGAAGCACATGCTTTTACAGCTAGCAATGAATTCGAAATTTAACTTGCGTAGAGCACAGCCACGGAATAATGACGTTTTATTGGACATTTTGACAAACAACAACAATTCTTAATAGCGTTTGTTTGTCCTTGTTTTGACAACTTCTGGTGTTTATGATATGAATGGAAGAAAACAAAAGGTTCTTGTACCTATAAGTTTCACTGTAGATATAGTATTTCTAAGTGTGCTATATCTAATGACTAATCGAACCAAATAAGGCACCGCGGCCTCGGCCTAGAGCAGGAGAAGGAGCGGTGAGGAGGGGTTTATTCAGTAAGAGTGTTCTTCTGAATCTCAATCCCAATCCTTCCCCTCCCCCAATCCCTCCTAAATCCCTAAATCTCCAAATCCCTAATCCCTAAAAGGTCGGCAACGCACTCGCAACTGCTCCGTTGCGAGTGTCCATGGGCGGCGCTGATTGCTTACCATCAGGTAATCCGTCTGCTCGTTTGCCGACCTATTAAATAAAAAATAAAATCTCCCTCTCGCCTCACAGTAGGAGAAGTCATATTATGATTTTCCCCCTATAAAAAAGGCATTACGATCCAAAGTTGCATTGATACTACAAATGACGAGCAAAAAGTGTAAACAACCTTTACACAGTAAATTACTTTGCCAAACAGAAGTGATCTTTAAAAACTCAAGTTATGGTTCAAATTTTCCAGGCATAGTCACGACAACGCGGGTAACTCATGCTTCGCCAGCGGGAATGTATGCCCATTCTTCGGAGAGAAACTGGGAATCAGATGCCGATGTACCAGAAGAATGCTTGGCTGCTGGCTGCAGGGATATAGCGTACCAACTCGTCACCAGCAGCCCTGGAAGACATTTTAAGGTAATTCATAATTAATCATTCTCTTTTTTTACGGGTAATAGCGCAACAATGTAGCGCAGCCTCAGCGCAGAAGAGTGGGTTAGAGTCTGACACTCTATTTCGCCCGTAACCAGAGCGAAACCGAGAGATGATCTCCGACCATCGTAAGCGCGGGTCTGCGGTCGGCGAGTAAGGGTAGCTCGCCGCCCGACCAGAACCAGGCCCGAGCGTACGGCGCGTAGCGTTCCGCGCGCGCCTCAAATATATATATATCGCGCCCTATAGGGCTGATGTTTAGCTGGGGTTGCGGGGTAAGCGCAATGAAGCACCGCGACCTCGGCCCAGAGCAGGAGAAGGAACAGGGGGTTTTTAGTCAGTAAGAGTTTGACACTCCCGCCCTGCTCTGGGCGGGAGAAGTCATTTGATGATTTCCTCCTCACAAAAAAAAAACCCAGAGCGAAACAAGTAATTGGATTGACGTGAAAAAATATTGTTGAACTTGCTTAAAAAATAATCTAACCAACAAGGGAATTTTTTGAAGCCATTCATTATTCTTATAAGTCTTCTGCTGAGCAACAGCCTCTACTCACACGGAGAAATGTGCAAAGTATGCACCACGCTTGCTCAAGGTAAATTACCTAAGTAGCGATTTCAAACATAGATTTTAGCAGTCCAGTTCTCCTCATAATATTCTCAATTACCGTACGAAAAAAAAGTACCTACATATTTTACGGTTGGTGCGGCGGCTGGGCAACTGGCTGCCGTGTAACGTGTCGCGGGTTCGATTCCCGCACGGAACAACTCTTTGTGTGATTCACAAATTGTTGTTCCGGGTCTGGGTGCCATGTGTATGTGAAATTGTATGTTTGTAACCGCACCCACGACACAGGAGAAAATCTTTCAAAGATCAAAGTTTTTTCAAAAAAAAAAACATATACTTTTGGAAAAGTGGTTGTTACATAGGTACTTACCTGCATTTATCTACGGGCCATCTCTGTGTACCTACTGCTTGGATCGCATTAATGACCACTAGGATATATTCGTCCAATCCCAGACTTCATTATCACATTATATTTCTTCTTTCATAAATTATCGTAAAAAGAACCTTTGTGTAGAGAAAATAAAAGCCTTTTTAAATAATTCCAGGTCATCATGGGCGGTGGTCGTAGGGAATTCCTTCCGAACACCACAAACATTTTAGGCAGTAAAGGGAGAAGGCTGGATGGCGTGGACCTTACGGAACTGTGGCATGTCGACAAACTCAACAAGAATGCGACTCATCAATACGTCACGGACAGATTGGAACTATTAAAGGTATCAAATTACTTAGCATAATTTCACGTATTCCATAGTCCAAAATCAAAGTGAACAACATTTATTCCAAACTAGCTACTCCTGCGCTGTTTCACCCGCTGCTCGACTCCATTTGATTGTAGCGTGATGTTTTATAGCCTGTAGCACTCGGGAACATTGTAGCTATCAACAAGTGAAAGAATTTTGGTAATCCGACCAGTGGTTCCAAAGATTACCTCAAACATACAAACTTACAAATTTTACCTCTTTATAATATTATTACTACTAGGTATAGACTAACCTTAGACAGGTGCTTTTGAGACGTCAAAATATAAGAATAAGTGAAGCTAGCTCGTTCGTTCGTGTAGATTCGAATAGAAAAAGATTCCCCCTGAATTTGTAAAACTACATTCCTATTACCATAATACATAATACATTCAATAGGGTATTTAATTCTAGATTGGAGAATATGTCTCGTCCTTTTCAAGAGTCGCTAAATAATTATGTTTTCATGTTAAAACATTGTGTTTGATATTGAATTTGAAAAACATTGGTACTTAGTTACAAATTACAGGATAATTGTGTTGTATACACGTACAGGTTGATTAGTTTTAAAGTTTTTATTGATTAAAGCAAAAAAATGTTTTTCTGTAGAGCAATATTGCTTTACAACTGGAAAACGGAGCCAAAATAAAATACTTTGTAGATCTAGGCATCTTTTCAACCTATATTTTGGTGTACGAGAGAAGATTATATTTGTCCATGTCAAAAGAAACATTTGACTACATCCACAATGGAATACGTACTTAGCGATTGTAATAATAAAGTGACCAACTTTGATATACCATTATGATCGCACAATCAAACGCATCGTACGATCGTTTTTAAGCATTTCATGTTGCGAGGTTGCGGTTGGTCCCTTGCGAGGTTCAAATGACGAAATCTGTATGTTTAAACTCATAGTACGACGAGAACGCATCGTGCCATCGTACGATTGCTCCCAATCAGGTCGACGCCTAAACAGTGAGCAATCTGCTGAAATCGACATCAAAATCAGTTCAGCCAATCGTGAAATAATTGCCGACATATACTTAAAAGTAGTCCTTGTGTTAATCTAGATTGTTCTTTTTACTATATGCCTTGGTGCACTCAATAGTTTTCATGAGTGATACTGATTTGTGAATAATAAAAGCAGTAAAACTTGACGTAATGATTTATATCGTTGTGTTCTGTTTTCAGGTATTTAATTCAGACGACTTGCCGGAGTACCTGTTGGGTTTGTTCAGGGACGATCACATGGAGTACCATCTGAAAGCTCAGAACCAGCCGTCTCTCGAAGAAATGGTGGAAGTGGCCATCAAGATGCTGAGCAGGAGCTCTAAAGGATATTTCTTATTTGTTGAAGGTAAGTTTAACCTCACGCTAGTAAAGAAAATTTACTATCTAATTACATAACGGAAAGCAGTTTTGTTAGGCGGTCTACGTTGACTGCCATCACAGCTAACCTAAAGGATACAACATAGCTTGATAATTCACTAAGAGAACAGGGTCCATATTCAAAATTTACAGCGGCAACGGCCTAGAACAAGAGAAGGAACGGGTGATTTTAAGTCACCCTGGTCTAGTGAAGTCAAGTCAAAATCATTCATTCCAACTAAACCATAAATAGGTACAGTCAGCTCCAAAAGTCGATGAACAGAATCAACTTACCAAAACACCTGTTCACAATAAAACGCCATAAGTTATAGTCGCAACTAGGAAACAAAATAGCCTGTACACCAGAAATTTACAAAAGTCGTTACACACGACTATTTCAAAAGTATCTGTGCACTAGTGTTCTTAAAGTCGCTGTACACCTTCAATCCAAATGTCGCTGAACATCATTGTATCAAAAGTCACTAAACAGAAGTAAAGACAAAATTAGGTTAACAAAGTATATTTTTAATGTTGCCCCGTGTTAATATACTTTTGACGCTTATGTTGTTCAGCTACTTTTGGGACAGTGTTTGCTAGAACTTAATAATGTATGTTAACACGTTAGTATCTAGGTACATATTTCAAAACTTATTTACAAATAAATTATATTTTATTGTCAGTAATCATACTAATCTATAATTTATTAAATAACATAAACATAACTCTAATGATCTACGAAGTGATTTTTGTGACGGTACTTGTAATTTACTTTGCGCAAATCTTACAAAACCTACCTTCCTTTAATTTATTATTTTTACCCGACTACGGCAATGCTAAAATTTAAAAAATTCGACATATGACATATCATTAGAAACGTCTTAATTGTCCGCTGCTTATAAGTTATATGATGTATTACAAAATCTAATGCGGCGTCCTCTAGCGGATAAAACAACCAGAGTAAAAAACTAAAACCCAACTACGACAAACACCGACGCTGAAAAACGCTGTTTTCTTTCTTATCTTGTTCGGAGGAAACGTTCGCGTGTCACCTAGCACAGATCGCCCGGAGGACACGGTAGAATATACGGTGGAAGTGGGCCCCGCTTGGGCAGGAAGACAGTATTTCAATAAAATAACTGTTGCTATAATCACTCTTCTTACAACTCTTGATATTACAATCACAACAATTACAATTTACCACCTAGAGGATACGGTGGAGCATACGGTAGCGGCATGCCCTGCCTGGGCTGAGCACCGCCATATCCTCAGGGAAGTGATCGGCGGCGGCGACCTCTCGCGCCCGGCCTTAGTCGAGGCCATGGTGCGGAGTGAGAGGAACTGGGACGCCGTCTCCTCCTTTTGTGAAGCAGTCATGCTCGCAAAGAGAGAGGCGGCCCGCGTGAGATAGCAATCCTCCTCCTCACGCCCCAGCAGCCGCAACTGGCGACACTACGGGCGTCGGGATCGAGGGACAATCTCCGGCTACCGTAAGCACGGGCCTGCGGTCGGCGAGTAAGGGCAGCTCGCCGCCCGACCAGAACCAGGCCCGAGCGAACGGCGCGTAGCGTTCCGCGCGTCTCAAAGAGCCATTAGACCACCACAGACGGGGCCCTAAAGGGCTGATGTTCAGCCGGGGTTGCGGGGTAAGCGCGATGAGGCACCGCGACCTCGGCACAGAGCAGGAGAAGGAACAGGGGGGTTTTTAGTCAGTAAGAGTCTGACACTCCCTCCTGCCCGGCCCTGGGCGGGAGAAGTCATTTGATGATTTTCCCCTCACAAAAAAAAAAACAAAAACAATTTAACTACGGATAATTAAGATTAGGTTGAATTTGAACTTAACGTCCACCGAACACGTGGCCGCGTGCGTATTCTACGAAGGTCCAATACAAGAAGGCCGTCTCAGCAGAGCTCGGTGTTCGCTATGGACTTGAAATAATTATGACAGTTGACTGAAGTTTGACATCGACGTATAACAAAGAGGTTTTACATGCACTGATGGCCAGTGCGCCGACATATACTTTGTTAACCTAATTTTGTCTTTACCGCTGTTTAGTGACTTTTGATACAATGATGTTCAGCGACATTTGGATTGAAGGTGTACAGCGACTTTAGGAATACTAGTGCACAGATACTTTTGAATTAGTCGTGTGTAACGACTTTTGTAAATTTCTGGTGTACAGGCTATTTTGTTTCCTAGTTGCGACTATAACTTATGGCGTTTTATTGTGAACAGGTTTTTGGTAAGTTGATTCTGTTCATCGACTTTTGGAGCTGACTGTACTTAATAGAAACTATTTCTTTTTACCCTTCCAAAAGTTCGTCTTTCGACAGATGAACATAATTCAGATCACATATCACATACCAGTTAAGTCATTTACACCTAGCTTCACTGATGAACAGACAGAGAATACTATTCTATTTTGACGTTTCAAAAGTACCTATTTATGTTTTCATCATCATCATCATCATCAGCCTATAAGTGCCCACTGCTGAGCAAAGGCCTCTTCTCATACGGAGAAGGTTAGAGCATTAATCACCACGCATGCTCAATGCGGGTTGGCGATTTCAAACTTATAATTAGAAATTATAAGTCTAGGTTTCCTCACGATGTTTACATTCACCGAATGTCAGTGGTGTCTAAATAATCATAGAAAGTACATACAACTCGGAAAAAGTCACATTGGTACTTGCCAGGTTTCGAACCCACACTCTCATGCATGAGAAGCGGGCTTCTTAGCCTCCGGGCCACCACGACACACATTTATGGTTTAGTTGGAATAAATGTTTTGATTTGATTTGATTTGATTGATACATCAATCGCTTAGTCACACAAAGATGTATATTGATTGTAATTAATACTTAAAATATCCTTCAAATTGCAGGTGGAAGAATTGATCACGCACACCACGAAAGCTTAGCTCATTTAGCACTGGACGAAACGGTTGAATACTCAAAAGCTGTGAAGAAAGCGAGATCTCTGACCAGTGAGGAAGATACCCTGATTGTTGTCAGTGCTGACCACGCTCATACAATGACAGTTGCTGGGTACCCGTCAAGGGGCAACGATATCCTTGGAATAGTGGACACAGCTAATGGAATGGATGGAAAACCCTATACTACTATAAGCTATGCGAATGGAAAAGCTCAGTCGATTGGAGCGGATGGGAGAGTTGATGTCACCAAGGATAATCAATTTACGTCTCGTGAGTATATTTTTTTTGTTTTTTATATTGTGTCGACAAACAAGCGGTATTACCTGATGGTAAGCAAATGGCGCCACCTCGCCACAAGAAGAGTTTATTGGGATTATGGTTTCTGAGGGTTGGGGAGAGAGTCACCGGTAACTTACTCACATGGCGAAATACAACGCTGCCATGTGGTTGATTCACGCTGGTTTTCTCTGAGGCCGTGGTATCGTTCTGGTCGAGCCGACCTATTCGTGCCGAAGCATGGCTCTCCCACACTTCTCACACTAATTCTTAACAGCCACCTAATTGGACAGTCAAAATATTATCTTGACGCAATATTATAGTATCCTCGCCTACCACATATAACTTGAAAGTTGTCCCCTTAAGACATTTGGATTTGAACTTGTTTTTTCTCTAATTGAAGGTGATCCGGACTACATCTATCCGAGCTTGGTGCCTTTGGATTCGGAGACTCACGGAGGGGAGGATGTGGCTGTGTACGCATCAGGACCGTGGCAGCATCTCTTCACTGCCAGCTACGAGCAGAACCTAGTCCCACATTTAATGGCTTACGCCATGTGTATCTCAGAAGACCAGCATGGGAACTGTGGACCAGAAATCCACAAATACACCGCCAGTGGTGTCACCACTTATCCTAGTGGCAACCTACTAATAACTTTAACTGTGATATTTACTTTAAGGATATTTTATTAGGTAAACAAAAATACTTAATTTTTTATTTAAATTTAATAGTACGATTTGAAGATTTCCGAACACGAAGCAGTTTGAATATCATAACCTATAGTTCGAATTTAAAAAAAGAATGAGAAAAGTTATTTAAAATATTGCTGACTCATGCGTCAATTTATTTATTTCAAAATTCGAGTTAAACTCAACTAGATTTAAGTCACACTACGCTCTGCACTGTCCGTGCGCAACTAATAGTTTCGCTTCTTTACAATGCTTTACGTGAGTAAGTTTTATTTTAAATAATTTATTATGACCTCGTGGTAGCGATACACACAAAACATAGAGTTTTCATTGTATTTTGTACTCAAACATTCCTGAATTCCCTAAATCTTTTTCTTAAGCAACAATATTATTGCCAATCATGGACGCATTTAAGTATTTGATGCTATCACATAATGTACACACAGACGCGAAACAGACCTTAGTTATATTTTACATTTTTAATTTCGAAGAATATCAATCGATAAGCATTTTATGAGCTGTGAAATTAATTTTCCTATTTTTACCAATATATAGATAATATTTGTTTTATAAAAGGGTGCTATTTGGGTTGAGACATTTTAGTGTTTCGGAATGAAGCATTATTTTCCTTTTTTCGCCATTACTTGTTGGGTAATTTCTGATCACTTTATTTAACCAGTATAATATATGACTTAATGCAGAAGAATATTACCCTTTTAGAAGCAACAGTCATATTGTGTAAAAGACCTTTTAAACTGTTCCATCACATCAAAATGCCCAAGCCATTTCTATAGCTTTCAACAACACACCATGGTTGAAAATCCGTAAAAAGAAAATTTACAAATTGTCTACTTGTATATTTAATTATTTGTACATAATAAACGAATTAGAAAATATTTTAAAAAACCTAGAGTAAGTGAGATATTTCAGTATTTTTATTAATAAACTTTGTGAAGTACAATTCTATTGAGTACTTTTATTTACTTCAGAGGGCCGACCATAACCTTATAGGTAGAAACCAATCTTATTGCAGGAGAGTTTTGTTTTCATAAAAAACTAATATTACTTCGTGAAACAAGCATAGCGTTTTGTTTCGCCGTGTGAGTGAGGTTACCGGAGGCCCAATCTTTCTCCGCCCCCAATCCCTCCTCAATCCCTAAATCTCCAAATCCCTAATCCCTAAAAGGTCGGCAACGCACTCGTTACTCTTCCGTTGCCATGGGCGGCGCTGATTGCTTACCATCAGGTAATCCGTCTGCTCGTTTGCCGACTTATTACATAAAAAAAAAAGAAAACTTCATTTCGTACCATGAACTACAACGCTAAATACGATTAGGTATTCCTGCCAAGGGCTGAGAAAGAATGATCGATTGTAAAGATTTTGTCTATTCCCTGCTAAGACAGAAAAGAAACGACTCTCTATATTAATTTGTATAGCGTTGTCTCTTTCACATTTCTTGTACACTAGCTACTCTCGCGCGGTTTCATTTAATCGTAGCGTGATGTTTTATAGCCTATAGCATTCAGGAACATTGTAGCTATCTATCAGTGAAAGAATTTTGGAAATCCGACCAGCGGTTCCAAAAATTACCCCCTACATACAAACTTACAAACATACAAACTTATCTCTTTAGGTATAATATTATATAGATAATAAACAACAATAATAGAGTAAGTGAGATATTTCAGTATTTTTATTAATAAACACTGTGAAGCGCAATTCCATTGAGTATTTTTTTTTAGATAAGCGCTATAGAAACACTAGATAGGTCGTCCGAGGATGAGTCACGGTACAACTTACAGTACACGGAAAAGCTTGTAGTCATCTTCACATTTTCCTTCTTTGTTAGGTTTTTATTTGAGAAAAAATTTAATTCATTTCCGTCTCCCGCTCTGTGTGGGACGAGAGACTGAAACTGCATTATGGGAATACCATGGTTTTTATAACTAACTCCGATACTTACACATGATTTGCGATGCATGATTTGCGACGCATTTTGGAAGGTCAGCGAATGATAAGTTAGACGCGCTTTTACCAAAACAATGGAGGAGGTGTCTAATTAAAAAAGATTTACACAATTTTAATTTATTTCCTAAATGATGACAGAAAAATTTGGAGAGCCTTAGAGATGCTTCTGAAATGTGGGCGAGCGATGCTTCGGCACGAAAGTGCGCCGGCTTTATTTCTAGTGATGACGCAAGTATCGCTTCTCCGAGAGATAATCTCCGGCCACCGTAAGCACGGGTCTGCGGACGGTAAGTAAGGGTAGCTCGCCGCCCAACCAGAACTAGACCCGAGCGTACGGCGCGTTGCGTTCCACGCGCCTCAAAGAGCCAATAAACCACCACACACGGGGCCCTACGGCGCTGATGTTCAGCCGGGGTTGCGGGGCAAGCATAATGAGGCACCGCGGCCACGGCCTAAAGGAGAAGGAACGAGTCAGTAAGAGTCTGACACTCTCTCTCGCCTTATCCTGGACGGGAGAAGCCGTTTGATGATTTTCCCCTGACAAAATAAGCATCGCATCTCGAATATGCTCGCTTCTTATGGGTTCGAAGGTCGTATCGTTTCGGTAAAGCTATTGTGCTTGTTAAGTTTACTAAAATCTAGATACTAATATGTATCTTAATTTGTCACTTACTATATAACGTCGAAACTGTTATTAAAGTACATACACACTGCTTACCAAGCTTCGTAACACTGTTATTTAACACTCCGTTCGATCCTGCCCATTCATGATGGAACTTGGTTTTCCTACATTTGCTGGTAAGTGTAGCCGTGTGTTCCTACTCTGAAACTGTTTTAACCCATTGGGTTCTTAGAAGATTTTTTCTTACTTGAAAATAATATTGCAGTTTGCATTGCAATAATTTCTCCCTTTATTTCAACGTGAACCGGTAATGGTAAAGTCAAAGTCAAAGTCAAATGACGCAAATAATGCTATTACGAAAGTTCATAATTGAAAAATTTAGTATTAAATGACTAGATACGATTCAGTTTGCCAAATGTTAAAAGTAAAGAATATAAGATATTATTCAACGGTAATGAATTACAATTTGTAAAATTGCAATTCCTGACATTGAGTCTATATTTGTCTTGGAAATCATGCCATTAGAGCTACATGTTTACAACCGTCGCTATTCATCGGGAATCTCTTAAAGAAAAAATAATGAGGCCAATATTATGTGACTGTGTTTTATATATTATATACTAGCTTTTGCCCGCCACTTCGTTCGCGTGGACTTCAGGTTCGTCCCGTCTAGTTTAGTAATAAGTAAGAAATACGGTAACTAAGCACTGCAGAGCCCTAATCATAGGACTATAGGTAGCTACTGCAGTATGCTCCTATAAACTACATTTAACGATATTTTTCCTTCAGCATAAACATGCAGATTCTTTGCTTTGGAAACGTAAGCGCAAAAAATGTGTTTTTTACGACCTCACGTTAGAAACCTCAAAAATTGTAGCCTGTGTGTTATTCTGATGTATAAACTATATTGTGGTAAAGTTTCATTCAAATCCATTCAGTAGTTTTTACGTGAAAGAGTAACAAACATCCATACATCCATACTTACAAACTTTCGCCTCTATAATAGTAGTAGGATATGTTGGATGTTTTTTTTATATATGTGGCGTTTAAAAAAACAATTATGTGCCTAATTGCTGTGGGATAAGAGCCACTTTATGAGGAAGTGTGTTGAAAAAAAATATTACGGTTTAATTTTAGTCGACTTCTCGGGCTACTAATAGGCAAATTACCGGAACGTTGTCATCAACCTTGACCCGACATGTTCAAATGTAAATTTAAACTTAAATATATCACAACATACCTAGTACAAAAAATTCGCTTTCTTTGTGGCTACATCTTTAAGACTTCGCAACTGGTTCAGATTTGATTTTTTTTTTAGTAGATAGAGTGATTGAAGAGGTAAGGTTTATGCATGATAACATCCATTAAATAGTGGAGGAATTTAGTATTAGCATTGCACCGAGCAAAGCTGGGGCAGATGACTAGTAATGTACTTATATGTTTTAGTATGAGCTCCATAGCTCTCCATATTTAAGGTATCTACTTAGAAATCGTGGGAGCCCCGTCTCCTAAGTGCATGTTGTGTCTGACCCAGGATTTTGCACCTACGACCCTTGATTCACATTAGAATCTTTCGTCATTCACTTCCATTTTTGGTTTTTATATACAAAATATATTTAAGTGTATAAGTGGAATAAATTTATCATCACTACAGAGGACTCACTACTAGGAAGTTCAAACGCAATGTGTCTGGTTTGGTAGTGTCTAGAACTTCCTTCTTTTTACAAGTCGGAAAATCATGAAATGGCGTCTGCCGCCCTGATTGGAGCGAGAGTGAGTGTCAGACTCTTACTGACTAAATGCTTGACTAGACGTCGCCCTATCTTGCCTAGAAATCGAGTATAATTATGCTTTTATCGACACAAATAACTCTTGGAAAGAAATGTTAGCAATGTGACCGATTTCAGTTCTCTTTTGATCCACTGTTACTGGAAATTTCTTTTTTTTTTTTTTTTGAGCAGAGATAAGTGGGTCGATATGTAGTGTCAGACTATTGCTGAATAATTCATTCCTTCTTCTGTCATCTGTGTCCGAAAAGAGTTGTGCTTTAGGCTTCCTACGAAATATGTTTATGTTTATTTAGGTACCTACCTACAGTCAAATAGAATTCCGCCGATTCGAGAGACACGGCCTCACAGACAAATGACTATAAGCTACACTTACGTTGTTTTTCGCCGTGTGAATGAGGATACTGGAGTCCAATTCTTCCTCCTGCCTTCAATCCGCAAATCACCTTTCGTCAATTCCTAATGCCTAAAGAGACCAGCAACGCACTTGAGAGTGGAAAATCCTCAAACACTCAAACAATACCAAGTTGATTAGAAAATAGACCTATCTATATTAACAAATAGTATGGATTCTTTATAGAAGATAATTAATCTTCACCCGGAATAAAATATATTCTTTGCCAGAACTGAAGATCTCAATCATTGATTTGCTGTGTGAGTGAGGTTATTTCGAAGACCTCACTCCTCTCTCTGAAAGCGTATATTTTTTATTGCAGACACGCTACGCATTACAATACATCTGTCGAATTCACACTCACTTTTTTTTTGGCACATAGGTACTTGCATTCCATTTACTAATGAAAGATTAATTTAAAATATGAATATGCCTCAAAATATAACAAATTAACACAATAAAAAGTTGCATTGTCATTACATTTAGTGTTGTTACCACCGACCAGAGACCTAAAATGTCTTATTTTTTTTCTAAGATTTCATTATTTAATAAAATATTACCTATAATTAAATATATAATTTATATAAGTAATAAATATGTCAATACAAATTTTTATATCAACTAACTATTTTCTTATTTTGTTGGACAGATACGGTAGTTTTGTTTCGACATTAAAAGATAACAGTTTTATAGTTGTTAGGTATTTAATTATTTTTATTAATGTTATGGTATCAATAAAATATTAGAAGGCTCGTTAAAATAGTAAATAATTATATTAAGATTAATTTTGTGTAGTATTAATAACAAATGTATTAAAAGTGCTAATTCATTCCTCTATTACATTTATATTATTGGCAACATCGAAAGATCGAAAGAACAAGAAGTGACAGGCGCAGGCGTCGCGCGTCAATCTCTCAGTCTCTTCCAAGATACAGCCGCGCGCGCCGTGACGCTCAGTTTTAAAGTGTCATACCTAGTTATTTTAGTTAGTAAGTAAATCAAAATGAATTTAGAAATCTTTTTGATTATTCTGGTTTATATTTTTTGTGCGTGGATTTGTGCTAGTGGCGGTGCGCCGTATGGAGGAAAAGATTCTACTTTAAAAAAATTGAACTTACAATTTGAAAACACGGATCACATTATTCTAAAACGAAGTATTATCAATGATAGCGAATCTTGTCCTTATGGGTATTATCGATTATTTGGCGCCCAATGCATTGAATGTCAACCGTAAGTACCTAATTTATCTAATTATTTTTTATTTACACTGTGTAGCCGATTTCTTTTAATTTCACAATGCTTAGTTTCTACTGTACTTAAGTCATAAAAATAATTTGATTTTGTGATATAGTGACAGCTAATAACAAATTTTTCTTTACGCTTCAGTTAATTAGTAATTGGTAAACGAAGTTCCAACAATTTCAGTAGCCGCCATCTTGAAAGACATGCTATTTTCCGATTTTCCTACCGGCATCGGCCATGCCAATCTTGCGTGACGTCATTACGGAAAATGCATGGTAGGGCCTATCACGTACACACGGACACACCTATGTGAATGCATTACATGACTGTGGCGCGTCGCTGTTCCCTCCTTAAATAAGAACAAAAGCCAGTCTTCAAAAAACGGTGTGCCGAGCCGGAACTTTTGTAAAATTTGAACTTTAATGTAATCATCTTGTGTGCCTTAGTGGTATGAGAACACTATAATTTACCGTGACAATGATAAGTGTGGGAGAGCCATGCTGCTTTCGATACCACGGCCTCACAGAAGATCGGCGTGAAACAACCACGGCTTTGTGTTTCGCCGTGTGAGTGAGGTTACCGGAGGCCCAATCCTTCCCCGCCCCCAATCACTCTTCAATCCCTAAATCTCCAAATCTCTAATCGCTTAGATGCATTCTGTATTATTACCGGGTTTCATTACAAACGTTATAGCAGTTTTCATGATTAGGTATTAACTTGTAAAAAATTGAAATAGTTGCAAGTCTGATGCTGCAATCTATGTAGGGCGGGGATGGGTAATGATGAACCGCTTTACGAAACTTTGTGCAGTCATTATCGCGGTGTATAGTACAATGTCTTATGTTTATTTTCAAAGCCTTCATCTTTATTTAACCTTTATGAGAGGATTCTTGTAACTAAAGGTCATTGCTCTGCGTTCCTTTAGTGTTCACGCTGATTCCTTTGATGAAACCGCCACGAGCCGGCCAACTACCCATTCCCGCCCGAACGTTGGGGTCAATGCAATTTTTTAGATCCACACGTTGGACGAATAGCGTTGGGGCCTATATTGGGGCCAACGTGTAGAGCCGGCGTAAAAGAATGTAAGGTCGCGTGTCCGACGACGCTCCCGAAGTGATAACATTAGGAAATGACGTAAACGCTGTTCGTACGGACAACGGTAGCCTAGTCGAGATACAAAAGCAAGATGCCTGGTAAATGCTCTTGGGACACTTTCCAATCTCTGCGAATGCACAGCATAAGGATTCCAGGATACTGAGGCATATTCCAACCTACTGCGCGCCAGAGTATTGTGCAGTAATACTCTACTTTTGGATAATTGATACCCTCGGGTATTTCTCTTTATTGCACAGGGATAGGGACGATATGGACATTGCCCTTTTGATGTTGATGTTTTAAATCGAGTGAACTGAAACAGAATATAATTACATTTTTGGTTCCAATTTATTCATACGTAATATCTGGGAGACGGTAAAATGCGTACGATTATTGGAAATAAAATAATCATTGATTTTTTTAGCTACGTGACGTTACATCCAAACGACGCACTATACAGTAGGAATTCTAGTTTTATGAACATATAAAAGAGAATATGTCGCTCCGCGGTCGCTAAGCCACAACCGAAGCCATTTTCGACCATAAATTCATGAGATTGATTACGTAATTTAACAGTGTAGTGTCACTGAGTGAGACACAGCGGCCTCTGCCTAAAACGGAAAGGGGAAAGGGGTTCTCGCCTCACCCTGGGCGAGAAAAATCACTTGATAATTTTCCTCTTACAAAAAAAAACATCATTTTACCATCGATATTGTATTGTGGTACGCTAAAATTGATTGTTATCTTCTTTCCAGGTATTCATATGTGTTTTATGAAGAGTGTGAAGACTTCCGCCGTGGAGACTACTATGATGAGTATGACGAGTAATACTTCGCATCTTTACTATGTACCTACGACCGCAGACTGCAAACTCAACAGGAGAACGTACGTGGATGATTTTGGTGAGTAAGAGCCTGATACTCCCTTACTGTTTTCTTGTTTTTCCCCTCACAAAAAACTACCCATAATTTCACCATCGATATCATATTGCGACAAGTTGAAATGTATTGTTATTTTCTTTGCTAGGTATTCCTACTGTGACCAGAGTCAAGACTTGGACCGTGGCGACTGGTTATAAAACATCTACCCAATAGTCCACATCTAATAGTGCTACAAGACACGCTACGCGCTCAACAACATCATTAAGATGTACGACCGAAGATCTCAACTAAAAAACTCGCAGTTTTATCTTATAAGTAGGCACCACCTTAATACTACTCTTATGATATTTGTAGTTTGTTACGTAATATCGCATTGTATCACTATTAATTGTATATTAGCGATAAATGTGGGAGAGCCAAGCTTCGGCACGAATGGGTCGGCTCGGCCGGAGTGATACCACGGCCTCACAGAATACCGGCGTGAAACAACCCACAGTGTTGTGTTTCGCCGTGTGAGTGAGGTTACCGGAGGCCAATCCCGTCCCTTCCCCTATCCCTTCCCGATCCTTACATCCGCAACCCTTATCCCCAAAAGGCCGGCAACGCACTCGTAACTGCTTTGGTGTTGCGAGTGTCCATGGGCGGCGCTGATTGCTTACCATCAGGTAATCCGTACGCCCGTTTGCCGACTTATACCATTAAAAAAAAAAATTGCTTGTATGTGTTTACCTATTTATGCTCGTTTTTACTGTCAACATAACCACTAATACCACTAACCACTGTAACTAATAGAAGGTCCAAAACACCAACCCCCTTATTACAAAACAAGATTTATGTTTAGTCCAGGTTTAAACCATTGAGTCGGGTTTTGAATTTTGAATCTTATTGTCATCCACCTTCAATTCGAAATACAAAAACTGGCTCAATGGTTTAGTCCTAGACTAAAGTAAAACCTTGTTTTGTAATAAGGCCGCAAGTGTTTACTTAAACCGTCATTAATTAGTTTAAAGATTTTCTTTTAGATGATTCATGTTTAATAAGTATATGTAATAGGTCTTTACCTATGAAATTGCCGTTCTGCAGTACTGGCCATTTCAAATCAAAATAGTTTTTGTTAGGCTTAGGCTAATTAATTTCGTTTTAAAAACATGGGATTCTTTTTCCAAAAGTAGTCTTTTGTTTATTGATTAGTGTTACAACATTTTCATCGCATTTCAATACAAAAAATTCGTTTAAATTTTGTTCATGCAAAACGGCAATTTTATTAGGTAAAGACCTAGGTACTATTATTTTAAGAAACGTTTTCATGATGTATGATGTATGCTTTATTGAAATGAGTATCAGTGCTTCGCATAATTGCGTGGTATAATTAATTGAATTATCATTATGAAATTATTATAATTGAGGTTGAGACTAGATGCGCTAGTAATTAATGAAACTGTGTTATAGGTTTGATTATGATTATTTTATGAAATAGTGATTGTAAGCACCGGCTATCAACGATCAGTACAGAAACGAAAGGTATCAAGTTATTAGAATCGTACAGATGATTGTTGACAATAGCAGATTGTGCAAGATGAGAGTGTTTTTTTTTTACTTGCTATAAACTAGTGCTTAACTGCGATCCTACCTGATGGTAAGCAGTGATGCAATCGTTGATGGTAAGGCGCACTAGTTTATTAAGAGCCTATTCACCCTAGCCTTGAAGACACCTAAATTATATTTGGACGGAAAGACTGCAGCCGGCAAACTGTTCCAATCCCTCGATGTACGCGGTATAAATGACGAAAGTGTATTTAAGATAGTATTATTTTCAGCATAGGTTATGCGCAATCGATGCAGAAACGACTGATATTAAGTACAAATATCGTAAATGGTATACCCACCATGAAGCGATGACGTTTTGTCGATTGACTTGTGGTAGGTACGTGACTTACAAATAACCTTCAACCCTGCAACCCCTGCTGAACATCAGCCTTAAAGGGCAACGTCTGTGGTGGTCTATTGGCTCGTTAAAGCGCGCGCGAAACGCTACGCGCCCTACGCTCGGGTAGTAACTTGGCTTGGAGTTTGATATATTTTAATTTATTATATATATCTTCGTTATTATTCCTAGAATAAGGAAGGAAATATGTGATAAAAATACTCATCACATCCATTACAGTTCTTTGTAAAAGTGACAGTTTTCCGATGTACTTAATGTCATTTTTGTGTATGCTTAGTTTTATTGACTTTAATTGGGTGATCCTCTGAAACATTTATTAGGTAGCATTTATTTTGGAATTAATTATCCTCTCAAGTTATTGAGCCGGGTGCCTTATTGTCTTCACCATTTTTGTTCGACTGATTGTTTGAGAATTGACGCAATTGAATTTTTTTTATTTCATATTTTCTTATTCAGTCTGCAGAATGAAGTTCTCCTGTGTCGGGTATGCGTTTAAAACATTAGATAAATATCGCACACAATCACACCCAGACACGGAACAAAAAATTGTGAATCACACCCATTCCCAGCCACCAAGTACAATGTAAAGTTAAAAATTTGGATTAAGGATAGTGACGTCATAATTTTTTGATTAATTACCTAATATGAGATATCACCCAATTATACATAATGTTCCATATTACTTAATTGTGACCAATGATAATATATATTAACAGATATGTTATACGCGCGCAAAAGTGAAAACTCGAAAAGAATACAATTGTATGCAAGTGCAATTAATCTCTCTTTGAATAATGTTTGTTTGCGTTGAGTGCGTACCTAATTAATAACAATAGCTATTTATTTTTTTCTTGTTGGATTTATCATACTACCCTTTTTCTACAATTTCAACTTGAAGTAATATGTACAATTAATATAAAGGTATGTGAATGTGCTGACGCTTGGCGCGGAACACATTTTTCGTGCGTTTTGTGTGCGTGTAACATATCTGTGTTAATATAATATCATTAATTGTGACGTAACAAAATACAATATAAGAACTTTTTGTAAATGAACTTCATGTTACATATTTTATTTGTCAGACATCATTTAGGGAGTGCTTACGCCGCTCGCGGTTTCACAAAATCCTTCAATTCATAAAACGTGGAAACAACCAAAATGATTTTAATGAAATTTATTACCTATATAAGCAGTATATATATATATATGGGTAATATAGGTAGTTATAGGAAATAATTCCAAGTTTTGTGATATATGTATTTATATTACTCGATTAGGTTTAGTGAAATAATCCTATACCAAATGAAAACTAGTCACTGAGACTGACTGATGTGACAAAAATAAAGAAACTAGTCTCAATTTGTTGAAATTAATAAATGCATTTAAAATTGTTGATTTAATGTAGGTTTTGTTAATATTTAAATTCCAAAAATGTGGTAGTTTTAATATTATAATTACTTTGATACCTGTTAATGTCACAAGGTACCTATTGTTTATCAAGATCTAACAATTCAAATACATTTTCGGAAAATTCTTTGATCGAGAAGTGAGAAATCATCACGTACCTTCTCTCGCCCAAGGCGAGTGGAGAGGAGTGTCAGACTCTTGCTGAATAAAGACGACCTCGTTCCTTCTCCTGCTTTCGACTGAGGCCGCGGTACCTTGTTGAGCTTGATTGAAACTTAAAATCTTATAGGCTTAATCTCTCCACTTCCAATCTTACAATTTAACCATTCCATAAATACTTATACATAACTGCTCACTTACCTATGGAATATTTCGAAAATATATTATATATATTTTTTATTACGTATGAGTAGGTAAGATGTTTCATTATTTTCGGTTCAGTAGTTTCTATGATTTTGACTTGAAAGTTTGTTAAACAATTCCCGCCGCGTATCCTCCCTTTGTCCAATGCAAGCTCAGCTTAATTTTTAACTAACCATAAGTATTGTTACCAAAAGTATTATAATTTACTCGGTTTCGATGTCTTTCAATCTATTAAAAAACAATCCGCATCGAAATTCGTTACGAAGTTTTAAAGATTTAAGCCTACATAGGGACAGAGAAAGCGACTTTGTTTTAGACTATGTAGTGTTACACTATTACAATTTATTAAAATAATAATTAATCGATTAAAAGTTTAGTTTATGAATGATTGCATATATTCGTGATTGACATTGATCATTACTTATCGATGTCAACATGATTAATGAAAATGGTAGGTCGGTCATTCGTCCTGGTAAGAACGATTGTGATTGAGTCGAAAGTATTTTGTTATGCAAGTATTTAGTAGATGTGTCTGATGTAATTAATGTTTCGTGATTAAAGTAAATTATATTGTGTAAACAGTGGGGCTAACCATGACGTTCAAATAATGATTGTTTTAATCGTACTTGACTTGTATCATTTATCAAAGTGCGTGTGCGACTACCTTCTACAGTAGTGATTTGTTACTTAATCTGCCCCTGTACAGGGTGTGGTTCTTGTGGAAATTCATCATAGGGTTGCTCCCACCATGGGGAGGACGAAATGTATGACCGTTACTAACTAAAACCACCCTGTTTCATCCTTTACTCAGAACCAGAGGCGATTTATTATAAGAATAATTTGCTACAATTAAGAGATTCCTACTTATTATAATTTACACATTTGTCTCAGCCTCTCTTACAAGTATAAAACTATATAGGGTTGTGCCAAATCGCAAAGAAGGAGATAATTCAAAATTATAATTAACTAGCTCCCGCCTACGACTTCGAACGCTTGGTATGTTGATAAAAAATCTATAGATATGTTACTTCCAGGGTATCACCTATCTACATGCCATATTTCAACCAAGTCGTTCCAGCCGTTCGCGTTAAAGAATAACAAACATACAAACATACATTGTTACAAACTTTCACATTTTTAATATTGGTAGGAGTTAAGTTAGGTTGAGACTTTAGTGTGGAGTTAAGTTAACACTAGATATACATGACTAAATAAGGTTAATTATTTTTAAGAAATGTACAATTAGACTTAAAATTTTATCTTTGTTTCATAATAAATGTTGTAAAAGATAATTATGTTACTTACTAAGTTATTAATTTATTTTTTTTGCTCTCTTTTTAATTAACCAGATTGCATTTTATTGTTTAAATTTAAACTCTTATATTTGTCTTTTCATGATCAATATTATCAATATTGCAATGTATTACCTTTTAATAATATGATCAATATGGCTGCTTGTTGATTTATTATTTAAATTTTTTGCATGTTATTTAATAAA